ATAACAGTTATCCTTTATCTTTGTTTTAGGCTTTATAGTTTACAAATATCTATCTCATTTGTGATGGGGATAATATTTTGCAAAAACAAAAATCAATACATTTTAACTTTCCCCCTAAATTGTATTCTCATGCAGTCTTGTTCCTCCAAGGCTGAACCATGAGATTTGTCACCCCAGTGAAGGGAGTCCTGCTTAGAACAAGGACTCCATGGGGTGGGCCTAGAGGACCGTGGTGAATCCAGTGGGGCTCAAATCCTGGCTCATTCACTAGGCAAATAACTTCTCTATGACTTAGCCTTCAGATCTACCTTATAAAGCAGTTTTGAGACAGGCACAGAGTAAGCGTTACATGTGTGCTATCAGGTCTAGAGGACTTGCTCATGGGGCTTTCCATAGGGATCATCCCATTACTCATTCATTCCAGTCTGGAGGCCTGTAAGGGAAAGGAGGAAGCTGGAGATGAGGAGGAAGGCAATAAGACCTGCATCCTGGTCTTTCACTAGGCTAAACTCCCCAAAGAGGAAGTTATGCTGTATTAATGGAGAAAACACCAGAGTAGAGAGGATTCTGCCCCCATCTCTTTTAGAACTCAGGCAGGTCATTGGCTTCCCGGTCTGCTCCTACCATAGTGTGAGGTGGCTGCACTGAAGTAGACTTGGCAATGTGGTACAGTTAGTGGGGAGAAGGCCTGAGTTTGGGTCTACAGGTACCTCCTGGTGCTTAAGCCCAGAAGTTTGTGCTTGCCTGAAGTGAGGTAATTCTAATTTGAGAGTTTCCCAGAGAGTTCAGAGAACGCTGTAGGCCAGGACCTCAGAATATCTTCAGCATCATGAAGAGGCAGAAAAGGACCTGTTCCATATGGAAGTACCAGGTCAGCCCTGCCCTAACGGACCTAGAAAAGAACATGCCAGGGGGTTATCAGCCTTGCCCATCAGCAGTGGAGGGCCTACTGAACACTCAGGGATAGACCACTCACCCTCATCTTGCTGGGTACCAACCCATACACACCCAAGGACTGCTTGAGGCCACATGTGCCCTTCCCTGCAGTGCCCCACCAGCCTCTCGCCATCCACAAAGGTGCCACCTGGAGGGAAGGAAGGAAAGAAAGATCAGCATTTTACTCACAAGAAACCGAGTGGTTTATTTAAAAGACTGTTTAAATCATTGAATTGAACTTAGATGACTGGATTGGGCTAAAATATACTTGCCTCTCCCCCATTACCCACAGACTAGGGGCACACACTTCAATCAGCTAACAGAAAATAAAGAAAAGTGCCTTCTCTGCACATCTGAGTGTGCTGTGAGTACATCTGTGACCTTGCCACACATATATTATCTTGTTTGATTCCCATATGTGCTGGAAAATGGCCATGACTGGGGTCAGCTTAGAGTGGCCATATGGTAGGGAACAGCAGAGGCCATGGTGGTGTGCCCAGATTCATCTTTATTATCACCATTTCCATTTCCAGTGGCTCCAGAGGCCTTGGGCTCCGCCTGCTAGCACCTCCCTCCATGCTCGGTTCTAGGTTGAACAGAGTTTGGTGAAGGAAGGTGGATGCAATGTAACTCGGGGGAAACAGCTCAGGCTTTGGACACTTCCAGACCAGACCTGGGTGGAAATCCCAGCCTTCCTGCTCACCTGCCATGCAACCCTGGGAAAGCAACTTCACCTCTCTCAACCAGAAAATGGATATCATAACAAAGTTAACTCTGCAATGTGGATGTGAGAGTGAGAGGTGCATATAGAGTATGAGCACAATGCCCTGGGCACGGCAGGTTCTTGGTAAATGGTAGCAAATTTAAGGATGAATGAATGAATGAATGAATGGGCCATTGCAGAGATAAACACACAGGTAGGGGTCTTACGCTGAAAGGCAGTATAGTGTTGTGTTTAGGAGTGAGGGCTCCAAAGCCAAGTGGCCTGGGCTTAAATCTGGCCTTGGTCACTTACTTGCTATATAGAAAATGTACTAAACCTCTCCAGGCCTCTGCACCCCTATGTGTACAATGAGAATGGGGCTACTGTGAGAATAAAATGAGTTAATATACATAAACCTTTTCCAGCAGTGCCTGGCACAAAATGAGTGCTCTGTAAATCTTAGCCATTGACATGATGACGATGGCTGCCATTCCGTTTCACTCTGCCCCATGCCCAGCATTGCTCTAGGGCCTGTGAAGAATATATATGAGAAGCCTAAGACATGACATCTGGCCCCAAGCAGCTCATTGAGGAGCCCAGATGTTCATCCCTGCAGCAACCATGCTTAGGCTGGCATATGGGCCAGAGTGAGGCTAATAGAACCAAGGACCCAGGGGAAGTGCACAGAAAAGATGGCACTGGGAGGAGAGGAGCAGAGTAGGTGGAGGCGGGTGGCTAAGGTGATGGCGCCTATGTGCACTTGCAGGACGGGTGTGCTATCCAATTTCACATGCTCCGTGTCTTCCCACTACAGCCTCACTGTGGAGGTACCTGGTAGCCAGGCCGGTGACAGTGTAACAGGAGTCCAGACACTAGTGGCCTTTGTATGTGCCTCACCTTTCAGAGAATGGAAGACTGTGGACCAGTCACTTGCTGCCCTGAGCCTCCATCTCCTTAAGCATAAAATGGGAATCATAGCACCTGTCCTTCCAATTTCTCAGGGTGGTCACAGCGTAAAATAAACCAAGAAGAAAGTACCAAGTAGCTGGTTAGGATCTTCGTATGAATTAGCCAATGCATGAAACACCAGCCCATGGACTATTGGGAAGATGAATGAACCACCCTCTGAAGGAGAAGTTGGGGTGCTTTCACCCCTGATTTGGTGAGAGGACAGCTGTCTCATCCCTAAAGATCCCATAGACCTAAAGATCTTCTGTGTTTAGTTTTAATCTCCTCAGAGCCCTGACATTAACCCTGGGGTAAATAGCTGACTTCATAGCCTTCCCGAAACACAGCTACTTGCCCGTAGATATCACAGCTGGGGAGGACAGAAGCACCGAACTCGAAGCTCCTTAGGGGAAGAAGATATTGCCACCCACACAGCCCTCTTTGCTGGATGACAACCTTTCTTTTCTGCCTTAAGACACTGGCCTAGGGGTCTCATCTGCCCGCTGCCCTGTGAAACCCACCCACCTCTGCTCACAACCTCCACCCTCCTTTCCTGTCTGCTCATCCCTCAGAAATCAAACTTAATCACCTTCCGTCTGGCTTCTGCCTTGCAATAAATAGTTCCAGCGTGCTTCTGAGGAGAAAAAAAAAGTCCAGCATTTAAGATATTGAGCCACTCAGAAATAATTATTCATGAGGTATTTGTGCATGCGTTAGAGTTTTCCCTTGAGGCTGAGGGCTGCCTGCTGGAATGAACTTAGCCACAACTTGGCCTTTATTTCCTTGTTTTATTTTCTTCTTTCTCATTTTTTCCTCCCTGCGTTTATGAATCCTCAACACATTTGAGAAATTGAAACATTAAAAATGCTCATGAGCATGACATGGGTAGGGCGTTTCTAAAGCTCATCAACAGAAGAAGCTTATGATGAGGAGGGACCTTAGAGATGTGAGGGCTGCGCAGGAGGACACCCAGTTCGGGTTGGGAGCCTAGAGAGTCCTGTCCTCAGGGAGCCCACAGAGTCCTGTCCTCAGGGAGCCCCAGTCTGAGGGAAACACAGCCCTGTCCTCATGGAGCCCCAGCCTGAGGGAGGTGCAGCCCCATCCTCAGCGAGCCCCAGTCTGATGAAGCCCCAGCCCTGTCCTCAGGGAGCCCCAGTCTGATGGGGGAGACACAGCTTCATCCTCAGGGAACCCCAGTCTGAGGGAAGAGAAAGCCAGGCTCTCTTGGGACTTCCTATAAGAGGGGAGAGTCTATTCTGCTTTAGAGATGGTGTTCTCAAGCTCAATGACTTTCTGACCGGGAGATGTGTTTGATAGTGTCATTTTTCAGTGGGCAACTGAGTTGACTGATTTACCTATTTGTTCATTTACAAGCATTTATTGAATACAGATTTTACTTCTGTATCAAGTAGTCATAATACTGAGGGATTCCCCTCAAAAAATAAGACAGTCTTTTTTGTTCATGACCACCAGCCTTATTTGGGAGACAGATAGGTAATGGTTTTCTCTGTAAGTTGTTCTAAGTGCCCTAACAGAGAGGAGCCCACAGGTCTGGGGAGAGAGACAGGCAAGGCCCAGTGTCTCCATTTTGCTGTGGAATCTTCCAGAAAGATGGAACAGAAAACAAGTGTTGCATGTGGAATATCAGAACCTCTCTAAAGGATGTTTTTCACTCATTCATTTATGGATTTGTTCAGAAAGTATTTTTGGAGACCTCTCGATTCTAGTATGATGCCAAATGTGGGGCTAGAGGTGGGTAGACACGATTCCCGCTCTTCAGCAGCTCATTGACCTGTGGCATCTTCACCCATTCTTACTTGGTATATTCCAGAAGTTTGGAGCAAAAGCCACTTGGAGGCCACCTAATTCTGTCCGCTCACTTGAGACATAAGGCTGTGTGGGCAGACGGAGTCCCAGCACCCGGCATAGTGCTCAGGGAGGAGCACTCTAAATGCAGGTAAATCCAACTGCACTTAGCTGACCCCCACTCTTTTTTTTTTTTTTTTTTTTTTTTGAGACGGAGTTTCACTCTTGTTACCCAGGCTGGAGTGCAATGGCGCGGTCTCGGCTCACCGCAACCTCCGCCTCCTGGGTTCAGGCAATTCTGCCTCAGCCTCCTGAGTAGCTGGGATTACAGGCACGCACCACCATGCCCAGCTAATTTTTTGTATCTTTAGTAGAGACGGGGTTTCACCATGTTGACCAGGATGGTCTCGATATCTTGACCTCGTGATCCACCCGCCTCGGCCTCCCAAAGTACTGGGATTACAGGCTTGAGCCACCGCGCCCGGCCTGACCCCCACTCTTGATCTCTGTTTATGTCTGATCAGCTTTCCTCTATCCCTCTTGCTGCAAACTCATCCCTTTTCCACGCGGGGGCGCCATGGAGGAGCGCTTTGCCCTCCCTGCCCTCCAACCTCCTTTGCCTTCCTGGCCTCACCACAGCCATCTCTGGTTTCTGCTCACTGAAAGGACCTGAAGATGATGAGATGATAGGAGCCCAGAATCAGGATCTTCACAGGGCAAAGGTGCACCACCCTCTGGGGTGTTGAGAGCTGGGGGAAGGGTAAATCAAGAGCACATTTTGGGAATTGAAGCAATAGCCTTAGGACCTGCTGGGGCTTGCCCTGGGAGGCGGGGGCAGGGCGAGTCTGGGTGAAGTGGTCCCACCTGGGGTGTAGCTGCCTTTAGAGTGGGTAGGGGCCTTTAAGACAGCTGAGTTAGAAAACAGGTCAAGCTGCTGTAATAGTGACTCAAAAGACAGTGTCTGACATACCGGGGAGTTTTCCACTCTCTTTTGCGATAAGCTACAGGCAGGTGGGTAGTCGGGGTTATCTACCCCACACAGGGGGTGCTGCTCTGCCACTGTGAGCACAGGCGTTCCACTGCAGGCTGCATGAGGGCTGCTTCAGGGGTGGCCCATCTCCAGCTGGTGAGAGGTCAGGAAAGAATAAAGAGGATTCTCCTTTTTCTTTTTTGAAGGATATGCCCTGGAGGTTGCTTCTGCTCGCATTTTCACTCACATTCCATTGGCCAGAACTCAGTCACGTTGTCGGGGCACCTTGGAAATGTAGTCTGTTTCAGGGAAGATATGAGCTCTGCTGAAACTTGAACGATACTAAAAACAAGAAGAGAATGGGCACCGGGCGTAATTCGTGGTTTCTGTCCCAGGGATCGCCTCAACACTGCCGAAGAGCCATGGAAGTTTTATTTCCCCCAAACACCTCAGCAGCCCTTCGGTTCCCAAGGAATAGCAGGATTTGAGAGAAAAGCCCTCAGGACAGCCAGCTCAGAGGCAGGAAGGAGACTTTTTGAATTGGTTTGATGCAGACTTGTTGATGCTGCCTAAAAATGAGGCTAGTGATGGGGTCCCTCAGAAGCCGGGCTGAGAGCCTCGGTCCACAAGGGCTGGTGCCTAGAGCCGTTGCCACAGCAGCAGGGACTGAGCAGCACGCAGTAGCGGTACCCACAGTGGGGCCCTCCAGGATTCTGGGGGATTCGCACTGTCCTGACCCAGCAGTTGCATTTATACCCTCCTGTGTCCTCTTAGCGTGCCCTTTTGAGTTCTATTTCCAAAGGAAATGATGGCTCCTTTGTGAACGCTCCTGTGCACGCTGCCTGAGGGCTTTCTCTGGTTACTGGAGCATGCGTGTGCCCTCCCGCAGGACAGAAGTGGCAGGGAATTACCCTGAGGAGTAGTTCCCAAACAATAATAAATGGCCAACTCTGAAATGTGTTCTACACAGTCTCTGAGACATTCCCAGTGGGACTGAGCCCCAGTTACCCACAGCAGCAATCTGCTTCCTGTGCTGGCTTCCTTTTCTTTCTTCCCTATAGGTACTTTTTGGGGTGATCTCCCGAATCAACTGTCCTGACATCATTGTCTCTGACTCTGCTTCTGGGGAACTCAGACCAAGAAACCTGGGTTGATTGGTTCTCTTTGCTATCTCCAGAGAGAAGATCCTGCAACCAAGAGGAGGACTCCAAACTGGGAAAGAGCAGGAAGCTGTGTCTTACTGTCACTGTAGTCCCAGCACCCGGCATAGTGCCACACACATGACAGATGGGTAAGTGCCCAGAAATTATTTCATTAGATTGAGTTAATTAAGTAACGTGTATTCTCTCATCAACTTGCTGTGTGATTTTGGGCAATTCAGTTTACCTCTCTGAGCCGCACTTTCACCATCTACAAATACATCACCTATGCAGAAGATGAAATGAGATAACAGATGTGAATGGGCTTTGTGATTCTAACACCCTCTGAATCTTAAGGGGTGAAAGAAAGCTGCCTCTTACTCTTGTTGCTGCTTTTCAAAATGCCCAGATGGGATCATTTAATGGCTAAAAGGCAGCACCAGTTTTCTCATTGAAATTCTTTTATTTGACAAAGTGGATAATCTTAGTGGAAGGAACATACATTATATTTTCTGTAAGATTTATTAAAGTTGTTTTCATTTTGAATTATACATGCAGTTTCAGAGTATTTGTTCTGAACTGGTCTTGTGCCCAAAAAAAGAAAAAAGAGGAAGGCTGCTCCTCACCAATTTTCTCATTTGATAGCTGAGAAAATGGACCAGGGAGGACTGTGTCCCTAGGGCTACAGGCTAGTTAGGAATATTCATTCATTCTGCAGATACTACATGGGCGCAGTTATGGCCAACACCGTGCTGGGGTGGGTGTGCCTTGGTGAGACCAAATGGTCAGTCCTGCTACCATGGAGCTGTCAGTCTCATGGAGGCTGTGACTCTAAACAGGACAGTCACACGGGAAGCCAGTACAGGGAGCAGGTTACTGTTGTGGGTAACTGGGGCTCAATCCCACTGAGTCGAGCAGCAAGTACTATAGCAGAAACATGTTTCTTCAGGAACTAAAGCAATGGACCTAAGCTTGTGGTGGTGGGGAACCGAGAGAGAAGGTACCCAGAGAAAGACTATTTCAACCAAAGTCTGAAGTCTGAGGCATTATCTGGGAGAAAAAGGAAGGGAGAGCCTCCCAGAGGAGATAGGATATGCAAAGATCCTGTGGCCTGAGGTGGTACATACACGGTGGGTTTGAGGAAGTAAGGAACGTCCTTGTGGTGGGAATATGGAGCCACAAGGTGTGGGCTGGTGAGAAATGAGGCTGCAGTGGTGGGCAGGAGAGTCCACATTGGGTCCTCGGAGGGCATGTGTGCTAAGCCAATTGTGGAATCCAAGTTTTATTCATTTTTTCTGCCCAAAATTGTCTGTAAAAATTTTAAAATACAGAAAAGTTGCACAGTGAACACTCATATATCTACCACTTGGATTCTACAATTTGCATTTTGTTCTCTTTATCTTGTATCTTCCCATAATCCATCCCTTATTTATCTATTAATCTGCAATTCGGCCCTAAACACTTCGGTGTGCATATTGTATCATTGGTAAAAGCATACTGCTGTGCAGCCCAGATCCTTATCAAGATACCAAACATTCCGTCACTCCAGAAAGCTCCTTTGTGTCCCTTCTCAGTTAATTCCTGCCTTCAACTTTCAGGCAACCACTGTTATGATTTTTTGCACCATAAATTAAATTTGCTTATCCTAGAACTTCATATAACTGGAATGATTTATTATATTCCTTCTCAGGCAATGCTTCTTTAACTCAACCTAATGTTTTAGAGGTTAATTCATATTGCATGTATCAAAAGTTCCGTCCTTTTCCTTGTAGAATAGCATCTCTTGTATGTATGTGTTACAATTTGGTCATCCATCCTACTGTTAATAAACATTTGGGTTGTTTCCAGTTTGGGGTGATGAAGAATAACAGTGCTAAGAACATTTTTGTACAGGTCTTTCTGAGGATGTGTGTTTTCACTTCTCTTGGGTAAACACCCAGGAATGGAATCATTGGGTCATAAGGTTGATGTATGTTTGGTTTTATAAGCAACTTGCAGACTTTTTTCCAGAGTGGCTGTATCATTTTGTCTTCTCGTGAACAGTGTAGAATTTTGGTTGTTCCACATACTCATCAGTACTTTCTGTTGTCAGCCTTTTACATTTTTAAATTGGTGAGTGTATAGCGGTAGGTCACCATCATTTCAATTTGCATTTCTCTGGTGGTTGGCTGGTGTTGAGAACTTTTTCCATAGGCCATTTGCATTGGCTTTTGGTGAACTGTCTGTTAAAATCTTTTGTGTGCTTTTAAAAAGGAGAATTGTTTATCTCCTTATTATTGAGTTTCAGGTGTGTGTGTGTGTGTGTGTGTATGTGTGTGTGTGTGTCTGCATATGAGTCATTTGTCAGATACGTAATTATTTTATCCAACAAATGTTAATTGAACCACTGCTAATGTCAGGCAATGTGCTAAACTACACAGCCAGTGGTCCGCCTGTGGAAAGCCACAGTCTAGGTCTCCCGACTAGCAAACCCAAAGCTCTTCCTACTAAACTCACCTTCTTCAGAAGAAGAAAGCTTTAGATTCCATGCTTCTTTAGGATCTTTGAGCTAGCAGGAAGGGCCTCAAAGGAGGCATCAGATGGCTTATTTTTGAAACTCAGCTCAGCCACTGACTTGCTGTGTGACTGGGGGTGAGTCACCTAACTTTTCTGAGCTTTTATTTACTCACCTAAAAAAAAGAGAAGAGGAAAAATATGACCTACCTCACAGATTTACCGCGAAGACTAAATGAGGCAAAAACACCGGGCAACAGTAGGTCCTAAGCCAACGTCAGTTTTCTTTCTTTTTCTTCCCCTGGGACAAGAGACTGTGCTGAGCCTGAGGTGATTTCAGCAAGGCTTGACCTGTCTTTGCAGGGTTCTAACAGAGAAAAACTGTCGTTTAAAAATTAGATGTTATGACGGTGCTAACAAAGTAGTGAGCACTCATTCTCTCCAGGGTTGTGCTCAGTGGCCCCTGCTCTCCAGAACTGGTGAGATTTCCTGGGTTTGCTAATGGAGTATGTTTTTAATGGGCTTCCTGATCTCTCTCCATCAGCAAAGAGCTGAAAGAGAAGCCCACTGGCCTGGGAGGGAGAGGACCCGGGTTCCTGGTCTGTCTCTGTCTTAACCAACCATGTGCTCCAGGCAGGTTTCTCTCATTCCGCTGTGCATAACCTTTGAAGTAAAATCAAGGAGTGGGGTAAAGCAGTTTCTAAGGTCTCTTCCGGTTCAAATATTCTGTGCTTACAGATTTCTTGGGTCCCCGATGAATGCTGGCCCACAGCTGGGAGACACATTTTCAAGCAGAATTGGCTGTTAGATTAGCAAGCATTTAAGCACTTTTATATGATCTTATGTTTTGAGACTTGGGGTGGGAGGACAGAGGCCCAAAGGAACTATTAGATGCACAACTCGAAGAGTCTCAATCAGACCTAAATTTAAAAATAACTGGTAGGAAAGATGTTAATGTTCTTAAAAAAAAAAACAAAGACAAAATAACGGCATAGCCAGTTACTCAGACTCCTCTGTGTTCTATTTTCCTTTAACCAACTTCTTGACAGTCAATGAACAATTCTCTTTATTTCCCCAATTGATGGAACTGAGGAATGTCTCACTACTCCCTTTATTTTTGCCTAAGTAGAAAACATATATCTGTTGGCTGTAAGGGTTTTGGATAGTTTTGTTGCTGTTGTTGTTTTTAGATTATGTATCAGTGAGATGAAAGCCATATCTCTTCTCTAATTTACTAATTTGGTAAAATCAAAGCTTCACGGGAGGGATTTATGTAAATCGTGGTTGAACAGGGAGGCAGCTCATGGGAATAACAGCAGCCAGTCTGGCAGTGCTTGGAGGGGCTTCCTCAGGCCCCCAGCCTAGGGGTCCCCTGGAATTCACAGCCAAGCTAGGCCAGCCCCAGGAGGCAGCGTTACTATGCTTCAGAGCAACCAGCTGCCTTTGTCACCTCCTAGGTGGACACATTACTCTGGGATTCGGTTTCCTCACCTGTATAATGGAGACGGGGATAATACCAACCCTCCCAGACTGTTTGAGGAGTCCATGGGGTGGTGGGTGTGAAGCATTCAGTACAGTGCCTGGCACATCACAGGCTCCACATCCATGTTACCTGTCGAAATTATCAGTATGAAGGGAATGGTGTTGGAGACCCCTTATCTTCTAGTGCCTTGGATGTAAGGGACCCCTTGAGTCAGCCTCTGAATCCTTTCAGTTCTTCTCCCTCGGGGATATGTCTCCTCTGGATTTTCCCCAAGGCTTAATCCTCAAGCGACAATTTTCCGAACATTTTTTTTTTCTTTCTGAAGTTCTTGGTCTCCATTTATATGTAAATTGGACGACTGAGCTTCTGAAGCCACAGAGTTTGTTGAATCTGGCTTTCACATTTCAAGGGAGGTAAAAGAAATACCACAACAGAGAGGGATGCAATTTTCAACCCAGAATAAATCTTCCTCTCTCAGGGTCCCTGACATTCTCCCGTTAGTAGGTGCTAGGACTAGGAATGGCAAATTTCCTATTGCAAGGGGTCTCCTCAAGGCTATTCCCCAAGGGGCTCATTTAACAGGGCCTCTGTCCTAGCCCATCAGCACCTCTCAAGGGCTGACCCTTTCTACCTCTTTAAGCTTTTTCATATCTGCAGCAAATGCTTCTAGGCATCAGGGGTCAGAGTAGAGGGCTGTTTGATTACCCTTTCCCATAACACCTCCATCTTCTCTCCTCCAGGTCCTGAAGTCTCCCAGACCAGTGTTGTCCTGAACTGGAGGAGGCAGTAGAGGAGGAAGTAAGTCCTAATAATAAATACTACTGTATAACAGCATATTAGATACCAGTCCCCATTGGCTAACGAAATATTTTCCCTGCACCATCTCATTTCAATCTCAAGAACCCTGGGAGCAGATACATTATTCACTCAACCTAAATCAGGACTCTGAAGCTCAGAAAGGTTCACCAGTTTGCCAGAGACATGCACTTTGCTAATGGTAGATGTGGAATTGGAGTCAGGGGTTCTGACTCCCGAGAGCAGCATGCCAGCCTCTGCTGTAGGTGTGACCCTCATGGTACAGATGAAACCAGGATTTGGCCTTGGGCCTGCCTGACTCCTCAGCCCTGCTCATGCTGCTTAGGAGAGACTCACTATAGGTATCATACAATGTGTTTTCAAATAAATAAGATGCAGTGAAACCCAGAGAACATCAAAACCTTGTCAGATGCAATTTCATGTCTCTTAGAGATTCAAGGAAGCATATTATGCTCATTCAGGAATTCAGGACTACGGCTGCTGTGTTGATTGCACTGGAGATGGGCAGAGCTAGTCAACTGCTAAGGCTTACAGAGAAGGAAAACCAGGTAATGAAAGGTTTCCTGCACTGTCTTGGTTTATCTTCTTATGAAAATGGTGATTGGATTTTAGAGTCAGGGATGGGTGAAGCGCATAGAGAACTGTTTAGATGTGAAGACAGTTTGATCTCACTCACCAGATAGCCTATAATAATGAATAATAGTAGGCACCACTGAATTTCTGTGCTAAGCAGTTTCTAGACATTCACTTTATATTTAACATAGTATCTCATTCAAAGTTTGTCAACCTATGAGGTGGATACTTTCCCAAGTTGACAGATGAAGACATGGCCACCAAGAGATGTTAAGTGGCTCGATGTCACACAGCTGGGAATTAGAGGGTTTGAACCCAGGCATTCTGGCTCTAGAATATGTGTTTTAATCGTGTTCTATCTTCTGTAACTATTTAGTGAGCCCCTGATGAGTACCTAGCGTGATGCTGGGAGTATTGAAGTGTTAACCCCCAGACCTCTGCACGCTTCTTCCTGAACATGAATCACGGAGGCTGGTCCAAGGCTTCTTCCCTAAGATCATGTGTGTTCCATGGGCAGGATCCCACCCAGCTTGCCCAGCTCTACATTCAGCTGTTGGTAGAGGCTCTGGCACTCAGCATCAACTGAGACATTGAGACACTTCAGCTCATCCCACCACAACCAGCCAGGTGAGCTCCAAGCCCAATGGCTAGAGCTGCAAGAGGGCTTGGGGTTGGAAAATGTGTATGGGGAGAGTAGAAACTCCCGGGAAAAGAAAGGGCTTCTGTAGCCTAAGGCCCTTCTGTTATAAGTAAGTAAGACCCTGGGTCATCTCTAACAGCATCCGTTTATCAGAAATGCAGACCCAGACCCATCTCAGCCTTGCTAATCTGAATATGCATTTAAACGAGATCCCCAAGTAATTTGTGTGCACATGGAAATGTGAAAAGACTGGTGCTATGGCCTCAATGTTTGTGTCCCACACCCCAAATTCATGTGTTCAAACGCTATCCCCCAAGGTGATGGCGAGGTCTTTGGGAAGCATTAAGTCATGGAGGTAGAGCTCTTATGAATGGGATAAGTGCTTTTTTTTTTTTTTTTTTTTTGACAGAGTCTCTCTCTGTCACTCAGGCTGGAGCGCAGTGGTGTGATCTCGGCTCACTGCAACCTCCATCTCCTGGGTTCAAGCAATTCTCCTACCTCAGCTTTCTGAGTAGCTGGGATTACAGGCACCCACTGCCATGCCCAGCTAATTTGTGCATTTTTTAGTAGAGACAATGTTCCACTGCATTGGCCAGGCTGGTCTTGAACTCCTAACAACAGGTGATTCACCTGCCTCAACCTTCCACAGTCTTGGGATTACAGGAGTGAGCCACCGTGCCTGGCTGATAAGTGCTCATAAAAGAGACCCCAGAGAACTCCCTCACCTCTTCTACCATGTAAGGGCACAGCCAAAAGGCACTGTCTATGAACCAAGCAGCAGACCCTCACCAGACACCAAATCTGCCAGTTCCTTGCTCTTGGACTTCCCAGCCTCCAGAACTGTGAGAAATGAATTTGTTGTTGTTTATAAATCACCCAGTCTAAGGTATTTTGGTATAGTAACTTGAACAGACCAAGATGACTGGTATCAGGAGCTATCATCAGAATGGCCAAGATTGCTCTAAAACTCTGTGGAATTGGCTGGCTCCACAGGTGTAGCAAGCAAGGGTCAAGTTCAAAAAGGTCAGCTCTGAGAAGTTAATATGTCAAATCCCAGGGGTTAGTGTCAGCTGTGGGAAGGTTGGACCTGCAGGCAGGACTGTCATCCCATGATGAAGGTCGCTTATCTCTCTCTCTCTTTCTCTCTCTCTTACTTTCTGTGTGTGAACTGCCCTAGGCTTCCCTCATTTTGGGTAGCCAGATGTGCAAATGTGCCTGTCTAGGAGAGATGCAAGCATTGATCCACAGGGTTTGAAGTCACCCTCTAAGTGGAATAGGAATAACCTTACCTCTGCTTGTTGTGTCTACTGCTGCCCATATTCTCATTCATGAATACATAAGTGTATATTTCATGTACAGCTAGAAGTCTGTCCATACACAGGATTCTTATGTCTTACACAAAACACTTTGCAGAATACAGTTCTCTACCGGAGTCCTTCTCTGCTTATATTAGACTTAATTATTTAAATTTAATCTATTAGTAGTTCTATATTTAATTTTTTATAATTAAATAAATTATTAGCCTATTAATAAATAATAAAGCTTAACAGCTGTTAATGAGCATTTGAAATAAATTATTGCATACACAATACCAATATTTACCCATGAAACAGAAAAGCTGTACCTGTAAGAAACTTTCCCTCTCTACCTGGTTCTCTTTTACTGTTAGCTAATATGAACGAATCACTCTATTATGTAGCATAAATAAGAAAGGGAGGGGGAGATGAAGATGATTTATGTGCTACGAGCATGTTTTATTCAACTGTTTTGACTGCTCTAGCCCAGCCTCTCATCCCCAACAACTAGGGGGAGATGGGGAGTAGCCCATGAGGGTTGCCGTTAGTTACTTAATGTTATAAACCACTCAAGAATAAATCGCCCGTCCCTCACTTGCTGGGTGTTTCCCCAGAGTATTATTAAAAGAGCCTCATGTAAAACCAGAAGTGGGAAGGAGCTACACACTGAATAAGAAAAGCATCAATGAAAATACTGTTACTTTTATTATATAGGGAGTATAAAAGGCATATAAATAAAAATATTTTATTATGCAATTTGAACATTGAATTTCATTGCCATACCCCACATGCTTTGTTATGCAGACTGACGTCTGCTAGGAATGAGACTCTCGCATTGCCTTTCTAGTTTGTGTAATTCTAAGAAGTCTCAACACAATGTATTAGAATTTCCACTCATGCAAAAATCTCTGTGTGTGTGTGTGTGTGTGTGTGTGTGTGAGAGACAGAGAGAGAGAGAGAGATGTGTGCATGGAAGTATATATATGTATATGTATGTGGATAAAAAATGTAGATATACTTGCACGTGTAGTCACTCATTCTGTTTGTCAGTTAATTCTTTATTAAAATGTCTACTATGTGCTGTTTTACATGCTGAGGATTCAGCAATGCACCAAAACAGACAAAATCTCTGTCTTCATGGAGTTAATATTTTCACAGGAAAGGATATCAGGCCATTCTTGCATTGCTATAAAAGAATACCTGAGACTGGGTAATTTATAAAGAGAAGAGGTTTAACTGGCTCACGGTTCTGCAGACTGTTCAGGAAGCATGGTGCCGGTATCTGCTTGGCTTCTGGGGAGGCCTCAGGAACCTTGCAATCACAGGGGAAGGTGAGTGGGGAGCAGGCATCTCACACGGCGGGAGCAGGAGCAAGAGAGTAGGGAGGGGCTACACACTTTTAACCAATCAGACCTCGCAGGAACTCACCCACTATCTCCAGGACAGCACCAAGGGATGGTGCTAAACTGTTAATGAGAACTCTGCCCCCGTGGTCCAATCACCTCCCACCAGGCCCCACCTCCAACACTGAGGATTACAATTCAACATGAAATTTGGTGGGGACACAGATCCAAACCGTATCAGAGAGAAACGCCAAATCCAAACCAACAAACGAGCAAATATTAAGTGAAGGAAACCGATTAGGATGCGTGATCAGAGTGCTACCAATGACAGGGTGACCAGGAAAGGCGTCTTTGAGAGGGTAACTCAAAGCAAAATGTTTGTCATATGATAGGCACTCAGATACAGTAACAGTTTACTATTGTTACATGTGTGTGGGTCACAGATTAGTGTGTTTGTGTAGGTGCACATGTGCTTATACCAACACGTGTGGGGGTAAGCACACGTGTATGTATGATTGTTCATGGAAAGGATGGCACAAAAGACAGAATGAGAGGCTGTGGCAGGCTGTGTGTACCTGTGGCTTTGGTTTTTTGTGTCCTGTGCCCTGCTCTGCTCCCTAGTGGAATAGGGCAGGGCAGGGCAATGACGGCAGGGCAATGACGGCAGGGCCCGCCTCTCACAGAACTGAGTTTCCATGGAAGGCACTTTAACACTAAAAATTCCTGCAGTCCAATTTTGAGGGCAACAGGCAGAGAGAAGCTGGGTTGCCAAGCAACCAGCCATTAACAGGAAATTAGTAGCTCATCTCTGAATGTCCTGTCCCATTTCCATCCTACCTCCCCCACTTCTGCCAAACAGAAACACACACATACGGGGACACACACAGAGCAATACAACTGAATGTCTCCAGGAGCTTCTAGAGAAAGAATTCCTGTTGCTGAGCTCACATCCAGCTAGAGCAGGGAGGCCAGAGCATCACCCGTCACCGCCTCCTCTCTCCCCACCCTCTGTTTCTCTTCCCCTACCCATTCCTCTCTGTTCCTAGTTCAGTCTTGTGTCCCAGTGGGCCCTCGTGGCCTGCATTCATGTGTTTTTTCCCCTTGAGCTCCCTTAGGGCAGGAACCTTTCTTCACTAATCTGAAAGCTCCCTGCAAGTAGGGCTACCCAGCCTCTCAAATCTCACCCTAACCTGATTTCTTAAACTTTGCTCAAATCCTATCCCAAACCCAAATCCCAAACCTGAATTTTGGCCCAGGTTTCTTGCTTCAGGAGCTGCGCTGCACCTGTTATCAAAGGGGCAGGGCCCCCTCAACACTTACTTCGGGTGTGCAAGAAATCGATGGCCCATCTGGGGAAAGGGGAGTGGAGCAGGCTTGGTTGACCTCCTATATTGGCCAGGCCAGGGTCAGGGACTTAGCTCAGGCCAGGAGCTACTTTTGCCTCAACACCATCCCGACAGAGGACAGTGAAGTAGGGGTCCCTTCAGGTCGCCCGATGCCCCTTCCTTGGATCTGTTCTGCCCCCATGGGTAGCACTTGGGGTATTCATAGACACAAATCTATCTGGAGAGAAAGCCGCATACCCAGGTTACCATCTCCAGAAGAAGCCATATTTCTAGCAAGTTGACTTTGAGTCCTAAGGCCCCTTCTTCACCTATTCCCTCCCTCCACACATTCATGGTCATGGGCAACTGATCCCCAATTAGCAAGGTCAATTGAGCCATACACTGTGCTAGACTTTGGTGTAATTCCCTTCTTGGAAGGAGCCCATGGCCCGGGGAAAGAAACAGACATGTAAGCTGTCATGCGCTCAGCAAAGACATGTGAAGGGCGTGGAGACCCAGGAAATGAGTAATTCAGTCTGTTAAATTGAGGGGGTGAGTGGAAAGAGAAATCCAGGAGCGGGTGACATGTCAGTTGGGCTTCAGAGTATGAATAGAAGCTTGCCAGAGAGAAATGTTGGGGGGGGGATGTTGGGGAGAGGGAATTCCAAGCAGAGGCAATAGCCTGGACATGGGCTGACTGTGTATAAATAATCACCTTCCAGAATTAAGGAGCAGTACTGATGTGTTTTGAAAGTTAATATTTAAAGAACTTTGGGATAAGAGCGAGGGGGTTTAGGCCTCAGCTCTGACCCTGGCTGCCTGTGCATCCACAGACTAGTTATGCCACCTCTCTGGACTTCTGTTTTCTCATCCGTGAAATAGAGACTTGGGCAGTCTCTGGGGTTGTTCTCAAGCCTGACAACCCCTGGCTTTGTCTGTGCAGAATGTTCATCTGAAGGAAGAAGGCTCAGGTGGGGGTGTTGCAGGGGCTGGGGTCCAAAGTCCTTTCTTCTCATTTCTCCCC